GTCTTACCCATATCGGTCGTCGCGGTCAGCTGAGAACGTGGCGCACAACAAGGGCATCTATGAGGTGGGTGAGGCGGGAGGGAGGGACCGGCCGTCTGAGTGGATGGATGGAGGGGTGGATGCGGGGATTTGCTTTGTGCAGGTGGCCAAGGCGGCAGTGGACGGGTGGATCCATTCTGAGGGGCACCGTCGCAATCTCGTCGGGCCATTCATTGTGTGCGGCATCGGGGTGGCGTGCTCAAGCGATGGCACATGGTATCTGACACAGCTATTCGGGACGCCGGGCTGGTGAAGCAGAGCAGCCCACAGCACCAGCCAGCCACCTGGGGCACATGGTCGGGCTGTATGTGTAGAAGACCCGCCAGTGATGTGATTGTGTGGGTTTCCCTCTCTCTCTTTGGCTCAAGTGGGTTTCTCTCTGTGCAGTCGACGAGAGTGTGCTGACGTCTTGATTGTTTTTGTCCCGTGTGTTGCTTCACGCTTGATCTCCGTCTCGTCGCGTTGCTGCCCGACGCATCCGGAGGTATACACTCACCCATGGCGATCGACGGTCGTGTGGTGACTGTGTGCTCTCGGTGGCCTTGGCCAGAAACGATGAGACGAGAAATGCATTAAAATGTTTATGTTGATTGTGACGAGTACGGACGCCTATGCATGAACGAACTGATTCTTCCGGCTTTCGTATATGCACAACTGAGATGTCGTCATCCGTCCGCCACTCCCTTGGTCTTTCCCACTCTGAGCATGAGAGCACGCGACCGCACCACCAGAGCCAACACCCTCCGACGATGTGTGTGCAGTCGGTGAGCAGAGGACCTGGCGGACGAGCCACATGCACACACACGGTCAGGAAACGAGCTTCATGAAACACAACGCACACAGAACACCACTCGCTACGTAGAAAACTCTCAACTCTCACATACATCACTCGACAACACCGAACCAACACAGAAAAACACAGACAGAAAAACTCATCTCAAGACGCCCACACAGCCAGCCGATCAATCGCGAAGTCATGGAGCCATCACACCCACACGCCCGGCCTCTGCATCAGCTCCTGAATCGCCTGCCGCTTGTCGGCCGCCGAAAACACCGAGCCACCCGCCACAAGCGCATTCGCACCAGCCGCAATCAGCTCCCCGGCATTCTTAGGGCTCACGCCACCATCGACCTCTATCCATGGGCTCACCCCCCGCTCCGCACACATCAGCCGCAGCCTGCGGATCTTCTCAAGGGCGCCCCTCATGTACCTGCACGTGGCACACAAGAAAGGGAAGGACCGCTCTCTCTGTCTCTTTGTCTCTCGGCGCCGCGTGTGTTTCGGTGTGTGTCGCAGGGTTTACTTGGGCCCGCCCCATCCCGGGTTGACAAGCATGATGACCACGACGTCCACATGCTCGAGCACGTGTTCTATCGAGGAAAGCTGTGTTCCCGGGTTTACCACCACACCCTGAAGACCAACCAGGTACCAAGGCAGGTGTGCAAGGAAGTTGCGCGGCCATCGATGCAATGCCGTGTGCACACGCACCGGAGCGCATCCCGCCTCCTCAATCGCATTCAGCACGGCGGGCAGCTGCAGAGTCGCCTCAGGGTGGACAGACAAGATGTCCGCCCCGGCGTCAATGAACTCGGCCACCCGGTGCTCCGGCTCTATCACGCCGAGCTTGACGTCAAACACCGTGTTGGGGAGCCGCTTGCGGAGGCTCTTGATGACGGGCGAGCCGAACGAGATCTTGGGCACCATTCTGCCGTCCTGGACAGAGAAATGCAGCCACGGGGCGCCTCCAGCCACTGCGGCGGAGAGGTCCTCTCCCAAGGACCAGAAGTTGGCTTTGGCCACCTGCAATCAAACGACATACATGAGTGTCCATGAGTGTCCTTGCCAACGGCATGGCATCCCTGGTTGTGTGCTTTGTTTCTCTCACCGAGGGAGAAACGACGATTGTGTTGGCCTTGTCCCCCGAGCGCAGCGCGGCGACCAGAGGGATTGCGAGCCACGTTGATGAATCAATGCAGCCACTCTTGGAGTGTGTGTTTGCGGCTGGCTCACCCTTAGATTTGCTGACATCCGCAGGCTCCGCGGGGAGAAAGCACGGCCTCCATCAGGGGCCAAGAGGAGGAACAGCAGCACTGCCAGCCCAGATAATGAAGGCAAACAGAAAAGATGCATTTCCTTGCTTCGTTCGTCTCGCCCGCTGCCGTCGCGATGGATCACTCGGAGTCAGAGATCTGCAGGGTAAGCTTACCCTAGACCCGCAAACCCTGCACTCTTGGCCGTTCATTGTTCTGAGCAGAGACTTGGTGCGGTGCACGGTTTGAGACATCCACACACATCGTTTGTCTCTACTCTCCCTCTTATGGTGCTGTGCGCTCTTGTTGATCATCTGTCGGTCGTGGTGATCATCCCTGTGGGCGAGGGTTCTTCTAAAGCCGGGGATGCGACTGCAGAAGATGCCTCGCCCCCAAGAATGGCACCATCTTCCGACAGATGAATCGAACATGGCAGAACAGACAGAGACACCAATCACCTCAATGCATCCAACTAACTCATCCATTCCATTTGTATGCCTGTACACTCGGTGACAGTTTGTTGTGTTAACTGCCATCCTAGCTATGCTATGCTATCTCCTCTCTCTCTATCGACAGTACCAAGCCATCGGTCAGTGTGTGCACTCCTGCAGCGCTTCCTGCTCCTCCCTCTCTCTCTCCTCCCCCCCGCCCACCATCTCCCACACCACCTCACACCAACGCGCCACATCCACATCCCCCTCCAGCAGTCGGGCCCTGGTGCTGCCCAGGGCCTCCACGAAGTCCCTCTCCTTCCTCGCCGACGTGACCGCTCGCGAGTCCTCCTGCAGGATCACCACCAGCAGCTGCAGGGCGTTGCACAGGACGTCCATGTAGAACCCACTGTGACGGCCACCATCCCGACTGCTGCTGCTGCCGCTGCCCACCCCGACGCCCACGCCGACAGAGAGTGCGACGCAGCCTGTGAGCGACGGGAGGGTGTGTCGGTGGCTCTTGAGAAGCAGGAGGGTGTTGCGCCTCAGCTCGCGGCAGGAGGGGGAGAGCATCAGGCTGACCATCACCCGCAGCGCCGCCGCCTTGGCACGCGCGATGCAGCACACCTGCCGCACTGTGTTGTGACGCCGCCTCCTGTCGGCTGCCTGGCCGCCGGATGGTGGCGATGGCCTCTCCCTCTCCTTATCCCTCGGCTGTGTGCGGCTCCTGGGCAGCATTCGCAAGATGCTGCTGGTGTGGGTGGTGCCTGTGGGCGCCTGGGGGTCCAGAATGATTGCAGCGCCGCTGCTACTGGTGTTGGCCTGTTGCTGTTGCTGTTGCTGCTGTCTGGCTGCTGTGCGTATGGCGTCGGGGAGGTTTGTGGTGTCGTTGATGAGATCCAGCCAGATCTCCAGCCCCTCTGTCGATTTGGTGCTGCTGGCGGTGGGCACGACGGCCGTCGCCTGGCCGGTAGCAGCAGACGGGGAGGCGTCCGTGATGAACACATGACCACTCCCTGACCGACAGACAGACCACACACCGTGCTGGTGTCTCTTTCCGCCTCACTTCACTGACCTGCTGGCCGTGATAGGCCGAGTATGAGCGCGGCCATGCGCCCGTCGGCCTGGCTGGAGAGGGCGCCGCACGAGAGGAACTGCATGATGGCGAGCATGCGCTGCGCCTGGCCCGTGGGGATGAAAGACGCCGATGTGTATGCCCGCCGTGAGAGCATCTGGCGGAGGGAGTCCACGAGGGTGGCGATGAAGCGCAGCAGCTCTGGCCGGCTGTCGAAAGAGTCGTCCACACACACACTCAGCACCTGCACGACAGAGAGAGAGAGAGAGAGAGGGAGGGGGGAGGCATAACACACCACACATGGATAATCCAGTCCGTGTGTGGTTCTTGGCGCGTTTGTGCCTCTCTCTGCCCATCCGCCCACTCGTCCACCTGCAGCTGCTTGCAAAGTGTTGCCGTGGACACCTCATTTCCACCAGCACCACCACTACCAGCACCCCCACCTCCGCCCTCCTTGAGTGACGGCCACCCAACAGTCATGGCCACACCGCCCACACGAACGCCATTGTCCCTCTCCCTCTCCCCAGGTGCTTTGCCGCCGGCCCCCTTGACGCTCCCGCCCACACTCGATGACGGCGGTGAAGATGACGACACCACCATCTGCAGCTGCAGCTGCCGCGACACGAACGCCATGAGGGTCGACAGGAACTGGCTCTTGTACAGCTGCCTGGCCGTCTGGGAGCGCAGGCGGTCGTCGAGAGAGCTCTGCTCGGGGTCGCGTGTGGGGCTGGGGGGGCCCTGGCCCTGCTCCTCTCTGTCGTCTGTGTCGGGCTGGTCTGTGGGAGGGGGCGGGGGATGGTCGTCGAGGGAGAACTTGGTGGCGAGGCAGCCGAGAAGGAGGTCTAATATCTGCACGCATGGATGGATGGATATGGAGACAGACATGGCGAGGGGGGATGTGTGCAGTGCAATGCCTACCTCCGTCATGACGTCTTCGTGAAGGAGAGCTATCTTCCAGCAGGCCCACACCACCCGCACCAGCAGGCTCTGCGACACGGACGACACTACCAAGGCGTGACGCATGGCCGCCGGGGAGGACGTCAACACCGCACCAAATAACCTGACAACACACACACACACACATACAAGACAACCGGCGCAATCCTGCATCGGCACCCACCTGATGAACAGTACCAACAGGTTCAGGTAAGCAGCCGTGGGCCCCGCCACCTCTCTCTCCCTCTCCTTGCCACCACCACCACCACCACCAGCACCCTCCTGCCCCTCCCTGCTGCCCTTCACACCGCCCCTCTTGCCATATGGATGGCCGTCAAGCGGCCGCAGCTCTGTGGCCGTCTCGAGGAGCCCCGCCTCGAGCAGTCCCTTGCTGCGGGTGATCTTGTCCACCTGCCGCTCCAGTGTCGCCGGCAGGTCCATCTGAATGACGACTGACGCTGTGGCGGGGAGGGTGTGGATGACGTGTGTGAGGGCCTGGCCGGCGGTAAGCAGCAGGGGGTGGGGGTCTGCCTGCTGGTGGGGTGGGTGGTGGGAGTGGTGGAGGAGGAAGAGTGAGGTCCAGGTCTCGTGAAGCCACTCGCGGACGTGCAGGCAGAGACGCCGGCAGAGGGCGTCTTGTGTGGCCTTGTCCAAGGCGACCGGCACGTCCAGACAGGCGCACAGCTCCAGCACCCGAGTGAGCAGCCCCATGGCGCCCTTGAGCACCCCCTCACCCAGCCTCACCCCACCACCTCCTCCAGCCTTGGTGGCCTTCATGTCGTCGACACCCCCCAGACACAGTAAAATGAAGGATGCGAGGGCGTGTGTGTTCCACAGCCACGCCGTGAGGGTGTGCGCCCAGGCCTGCTGCTCCCCGTTGCCGTCGGCGGCGTGCTCGGTGGCCTCGAGAAGGTTGGTGAGAGCCGTGATGAGGGCCCGCAGCTGCGCCTCGATCGCGCGCAGGGCGGGGGGACTGTCTTGTGTGAGGGCGAGATGACGCTCCAGCCTGTGTGATGACGCGGTGAGAAAGGTGCCAAAGGCGACGGCGAGGGGCTCGTCTGGCTGGCCGTCGACCGCAGGGCCCCTCCCTCTGTCAGTGGTGGTGTTGGTGACGGTATCGGTGTTGGTGTGTGTGGTGCGGCTGCTGGTGTATGCGATGAGGGACAGCTGGTCGGGCTGACGCAGCACCACCTCTGATGCGAACCACACTATCTCCAGGCCTAACACCGGAACAGGGAAGGCGGGCAGGACGGCACTCGACTCTCCTGTGTGTGTATGTGTGTTTGGGTACCGAGGTTGGTCTTGTCGATATCGCCCCCATCCCCGCCATCCCTGGCGACCTCCCTCAGTGTCATGGCCATCAGCTCCCACACCGACAAAAACCGAAACGGACTGCACGGATCACCACCACCTCCACCACCATGAGTATCGTCTGCTGCCGCTGCTCTGAAGGGCAGTGCGCTCTCCAGACAGGCCATGACGGTCACGTCTGCCTCCCTCAGCGTCATACGCAGCAGCCGAACCGTCACCGTCTTGAGCCGGAGGGACGCTGCGGGGCTCATGAGGAGGTACGGCACACGGCGACAGAGGAAGGGGGTCGACGAGAGCCGGTGGACGATCTGCTCGATGGGGCCGGTGTGTGTGTTTGTGGTGACGAGGGGGGTGTCTGCATCTCCCTCTGTTCCTTCGCTCGGGTCCGTTGGCTGCTGCCCGTTGCTGTCGTGTGTGTGTGTCGGCAGGGAGAGGGTCTCCTGTTGCCGGGCATACCGCACCCACACATCAGCGAGAAACGACGCCGCCTCCGTGACCTCCAGCCACTTGTCACCGGAGTCGTGGCACACCTTCACGCCCATCTTGCTCTCGTGAGATGGAGCACGTGGCGCCTCGCCGTCAGCTATGCTGTGGGTGTCGTCCCCCTGCTCGTCATGGTGGTGATGGCCATCGGTGTGGTCGTCATTGCGTTCGGTCAGCTCGAGCATCGGTCCCTCATCCACGAGAATGTCCACGGCGTGGAGTGTCGGCCCCTCCAGCTGGAACCGCAGGGCATAGGCAAGAGTGTGCGTGTCCTGCGTGATCTCCACAGCCATCAGCGTCGCCCTCAGCGTCCGCCACGCCTGTGCACGGATCGCGCCACTGACGTGCTCCGTCAGCGGCTCCACCGCACTCACGAGCGCCTCACTCGCCGTCTCTAGCGGCCCCTTGACCACCACCTGCTCCACCGCGAGAAGGGCCGCGAGCACGGCGGAAGATCCGATGCGGCTGTCCTTGCGGCCGTGCTGCGACCGTAGGAAGTGGGAGAGGATGAGCAGAAGCCTCGGACGGTGGGCGGGGGGAGGGCTGGGGGATGGGAGAGTCGGGGGAGGGGGGTCGGTGCCATTCTTGTCGTCGTCGCGGTTCTCCGGACATGTTGCCGCTGCGATGGCTTCCTGCTCCAGGCGGCTGACTTCTATGTCGGCTATGTCTGAGAGGGGCAGCAGGGATGTGGCCGAGAAGACCAGATGTCTGTTTGCAGCCAGAGACGCAACACAAACATACGGTGAGATTGCGGAGGAAGACGGGAATGGCTTGGTGTGGTTGGTTGGTGTGTCTGTCACCTGAGCTGCCGGAGGTCAGGTCGCCGCTCCGTGACATCCAGCAAACGCACCAAACACTCCAGCCACTCTGACCGGGGGATCACACACAGTGGAATATAATGCAAAATGCAGACTAGACCAAAATTGCACGACTTCAGGACCACGTGTGTTTCTTAATCTCACCTTCTGACCCCCAGACGGCCTTGTCCAGCTCCGGCCGCCTCAGGAAGTGCACCACCACATCCAGTGCACCGATCAGCAGCTCTAGGTCACGGCCATAGTCACTCCACACGCCTCTCTTCCGGCCATGGCCATACCGAGATGGCACCGGCAGCCGCTGCTGCCGCGGCACACGCCAACACACGTGCCAGTAGCTGCCGTCGCCACCACCCTCCCCCTCCCCCTCTCCTCCCTCTCCCTCTTTCACCACTTCCTCCATCTGCATCTCGTCGGCCAGGAAGGAAGCACACCCCCACACAAACCCCGCCAGGCCGCCCTTGGCCGCACACGCCTCCTGCAGACCCTCCAGTCCCGACAATGCCTCACTGTGGGGAGGGGGGACGGGTGGAAGGGCTTCAAGAAGGCTGACGGTCTTGCGCATGGCCTCTGTGAAGCGGATGACGGTCGGGTGCAGCGGGGGCTCTCCCTTGTCAGCCGTCTTGAGGCGAGGCTGCGTGTTGGGGACGGATGGGGGCGTGTGGAATGCAGTGGCCATTTGGTCGATGAGCGACGCGCTCTCGGGGCTCCCGTCGACCATCCGCTGGGCCTCATGCGGCGTCAGCAGCCGCTCGCCGCCCTTCATCTCGCTCAGCGGCGCATCGCCCGACGACGAACCCAGCGCCTCATCGCCAAACTCGGCGGTCTTGTCGAAGTGGATGAGCGCCCGGGCGAGGAACAGGGCCTGGTCGGTGATGCCAGTCGCCCTTCTGTTCTTCCAGAAGTGGGCAGATGGGCTGGGGCATGGCGGGACCTGGGTGGGGAGGGGGACGCTGTAGGCAGTCTCGAACCATGGCGGCACGTAGAACTCCAGCGGCGGGAGGGACCGGTCCTCCTCCGCCTCATGGGATGACGCTTGAGACGGTGAGGCGCTGAATGGGCTGAACGGCGTCACGTGCCGGGGCGGGGGGGAGATGGGCGGCCGCACGGACGTCTTGCCACAGAGGTAGCTCTCCAGCCCTCTCTCAGGGCACATGCGCCCATCGAGGGCCCATACGGCATCGGGGTGGAACACCAGTGCCGCCAGCAGCTGCAGCGCCGCGCACCGCACCTCCGGCTGCTGGTGGAAGGCGAACAGCGGCAGCACCACCATCAAACTCCTCGTCTGGTCCAGGACTGCCTGCCCCACCGCCGAGAGCGGCCGGAAGGTCAGCAGCAGCAGCGTGTAGAAGCGGCACGCCTGCAGCACCAGCTTCTGGTCGTTGGTCGCCTCCTCGTCTGCCGGCAGCCGGATGAACAGCGCCGGGGGCGCGATGCCAGTGGGTGATGGGGGGCCGTTCCTGTGTCGCTGCTGTATGTGGTTGACGGTCTTCTCGAGGGTGTGCAGGACTAGGGGCAGCAGTGGGGGCATGTCTGGGGGAGAGGGATGGAGCAGGAGGGAGGCTGCGGGGGTGGGGCAGGACACCAGGGTCATCGTCACGTTCGTCAGGGCCTTGGCAAGCATGCCCGAATCAAACCTGATTGATTGACACACATGGCAGCTCTGTGTGTGTGTGTGCGTGTGTGTGTTGCTGGTGACTTACGTGTCTTTGGCGAAGGCGTTGACCTGCTCCCTGACATCCTTGTCGCGCCACTCCAGCCCAGCCGTCCGGTAGTGCTCCATCTCGCCCATCCCCCTCGCACCCCAGTACTCCTGCACACTGCCCCATGGGTCGCTCACAAAGGCGAAAGGCGACCTCTTAGCGCCGCCACTACCACTACCACTCACACCGCCGATTCCCTCCTGCCCCCCCTCGGTGCTCCACAGCACCATGGCGGCCTTGCGTCTCGCGTCGTCCTGCTTGGCGAACAGCTGCTGGATGAGGCAGCGGTGCTCGTCGTGAGGGAGGGAAGGATGCAGTGGGTCGGGGGGGATTATCGGCAGGTGCTGGTCGTGCAGGGGGTCCCAGGTCTCCAGGAAGGTGCGGCAGAAGTGGCTGATGCCCTCGGTGTCACTGTCGCCATCAAGGGCGGTGGCGTCGAGTGCGCCCCACAGCCAGTGGGCCATCTGCGCGCCCTCTGTGCCGCCGTGGACCGCGGCCTCGTACAGGAAGTCCTGGCTCGCCAGCAGGCCCTTCAGCGCCCTTTCCGTGGCCACATCGCTCTCCCGCTCCAGCCGCCCCCTCACCCACTCGAAGCACGCCCGCCGCACCGATGCCTGCGGGCACGTGACCACCCGCAGCAAATACGACAGGCACACTCTGTAGTCGGTGTCGTCCTCCGCCCCCTCCTGCAGTGTCCGGAAAGCGTCAACGGTCTCGAAGCAGACGCGGTGGATGGCCGCGTGCACGGTGCGCTCTGTGGGGTCGGCTGTGGCGAATTGGTCGTCTTGGTCCATGTCGCTGGATGGCGGGGGCGGGGGCGGGTGTGTGAGCAGCAGTAGGGAGAGGGTAGGGTGGCCGCCTGGCAGGGGGGAGGACGGTTCTGATGTTGGGTCGTGCACACGCTCGGCCGCCTGCCGGAGGGCCACCACATGCCTGTTCGGGGAGACGCAGAGAGAGATTGGCCAGACTCCGCCTCGTGGGCAAACGCGCCAGTGCGTTTGATTCACCTGTGCGCCTCGATGTCCTCCGGTGCTACCAGTGCCACCAGCCTCTCCACCCCCCTCCCCCCCTCCCTCCACTGCAGCCTGGCGTCCCACAGCACCACCCTCAGCCACCCCGCCAGCCGCCCGCTCTCCAGACACATGGCCTTCACGCAATCCTCATCGGTCAGCCGGTCCAGAAATCCGATCGCCAGCTCCAGCAATCGGCGCTGGAGGGATGTCCACGGGAAGGTCTTGAGCGGCGCGAGGCTGTCGTCTGTGTTGAGGGCGGGCTCAGCCTCTCGCAGGATGGCTGCTGTGATCCTCATGAGGGGCCGGAGGGAGGGGATGGCGTCGGCAATATGCTGCGGATTGGGGAAGTGCTGCTCGACGGCCTCCCCCAGCAGCCGGGCGTAGTGCAGCAGACCTCCTGGCGGGTACGTGATGGCCGCACACCGGTGGTCCCCTGTCCATCCGGCATCGCCCCGCCTCTCGGCCCTCCTGGCGTGTGTGAGGACGCTCATGAGAGTGAGGGCGTCGAGAATGATGCGGCACGCGTGTGGCGCCGAGAGGGGTGTCTTGAGGGGCGTGGCGAAGAGGATGGTCAGCAGGGGGTGCAGAAACAGGGGAGGGGGGAGCGGCCAGATGAGGCCGCTTCTGTCGATGCGGCGGACGAGGGCAGAGGGGGGGTCGCTGTCCCGCACAGAGGGGTGGTACGATGACAGGGCGCTCTGGACGGCACAAGCATACAGCCGGGAGGGGAGGGGGGGTGTTTGGTGACTACGCCTTCGTATGTGCGTCATCTATGCGGTCTTTCTTGACCTTTTTGATGTTGCCAATGGCGGTTTCGAGCGCCTTGAGAGCAGGCAGCAGAATGGCCATCTCTGCAGGGCCGCCGAACTTGGTGATGCCACACAACGCCTGAACGAACGATCACACCGACAGATACACATACAATGCACTCGTGCAGCCATCCCATCCACGAGTCGTTGTGTGCACAGTACCTTCCTTACCTGCCAGATTTGGTCTCTATAGATGAGGAACATGGGGGGGAAGTCAATGAGTATGGTCTCAGGCAGACACCGACAAGCGTTGAGCGTCTGGTCCAAAGTGCCGTAGATCAAGTCACCGCTGCATGCATCCATCCATCCATCCGTCCATCCGTCCATCCAGGCATCCAGGCAGGCATGACGACACACACACACACACACACACATGAATTGAGGACTCTACGCTGTCAGTGTGGTCTCTCTGTGGTCTCTATCTATGGTACCCTACCCGATGTTGCTAACATGCTGCTCATCAGGGAGGCTCAACCGACACAGCGTCGCGCCTAACAACCAGACCAGACCAACAGATACATACGAACAGATAGATAGACATGTGTTTAGAAGGCTTTCCCTATCTGTCTGCGTGCCTACCGTCCTTGGTGAGCGCCTTGGTGTCCCACCAGGCCTTCATTTCCTCCTCCTGCACACTCTCCACCCCACCACTGCCGCCGTAGCCCTGGCCATGGCCGTGGCCGTGGCGGCCTCTCCGTCTCCTCTCCCTGCCCCTGCTATGGCCGTCGTTGTGTCCGTCACCCTCCCCCCTCTCCCTCCAGTCGCTCGCACCGCCCCACGCTTCATGCGCTTCCGCCCTCATGTCGGTGAACGCATCACGCGGCTGCTGCTGGTGCTGCTGGTGCTGCTGATGGTGCTGCTGTGGGTCAGCTACCATTGCCGCCATCCTCGGTGGCACCGGGGGGCACTCGACAACAGCCGCTGGAGCCGCATCACCCTTGGTGGGCACCACCCACCGGCGGACGGACGGGGAGAGGGACGCCGCCACCCTCCTGTCACTTTCAGGGTCAGCTACATGATGGCCAGCATGATGCAGATGTGCATGAGACGACGGGAACGGTCTTGGCGCTGGCCGTCGAATGTGTGGGGTGGGGTTCCAGGTGGCGGGCCGCACCGGGAAGGCCGGCGATGCGCCCACAGGGGGATTGGCACTCGGGGGGGTCAGCGCCTCCACGTTAAAGGGCAGCTGGGCAGAGGAGGCGGAGGGTTGAGTGGCAGTGGGTGGGGGCGCCTTGATGAGTGTGGCGAGGATCTGTGTGATGGGGGAGTGGTGGAGGCCGGCCACGGGGTGGTGTGCAAAGGCCTGCAGGAACGGCACCGCACCCGCATCGTCAAGCGACCGACGAAGGACCATACTCCCCTAAACCCAAACACACAAGACATCCGCAATACACACACTGCAACCCACCAGTGTTTGTGATCTGTCTGACGCCTTGACTGACCTTTGCAATCCGATTGAGCAGGTCGAGTGCGAGTGGCAGAGCGGCTGCCGCCTCCAGCTGCCTGTCGTTGATCCAGTGGAGCACCAGCGGGCCCAGCCCAATGGTGTGCTCCAGGTCGGCCACCGTCACAAGGCCGTCCGACAGCTTCTGCTGCAGGTTGCACAGCGCCGCGTCGCGCGTTGAGGGAGATGGATGGCCTGAGTGAAACACGAAACGTGCAAACAAACATGCACCAGTGTTTTCTGTGAGATCTGGCCCCATGTTTGAGCTGTTCTTTCTGGCTGCTTGGCTTGCTCACCAAGCTTGTAGACCAGCTCCTGCAGGCTTTGAAGCGCCGGGGATGCCTGGCCCTCCGCCATCGCACCCACCGGCTACCGCAACTCACCAAGCCTCAAAACCTCATTGTGGGGTTTCTTGTGGGGCTTCGTTGAACCACGGGCACATCCCTGCTGCCCTGCGCTACTGCTCACGTCGAATTTCTCCCGAATGCACGCGAAATTGCGTCTTGCGATCCAAAGCTCCGGAGTTTGCGCGCTTAGAAATCTCATTCCCAAAGATCTCACCCTCCCGTGGTGGTGCACGTGTGGGCATAACGGCTCTGCGGCTCTCTGTCAGAGATGCGAGTTGAATTACGGCATTTCGAGCGGTGGCGAACACAAAGGACGTCAGCAAAGCTGCTGACAGTGTTGGCGGCTGTGCCGCTGTTTCTGCTATGGAGGGCGCATGTGGCGGAGGGCAAAGTCGTCTATGCTGTCAACTGCGGTGGGCGATCTGATGCAGATCAAGATGTGCATCTGTGGTCATGTGTTTGGAGTGCGCTGTGTGTGTTTGAGTGTGTGTGTGTGTGTGTGTGCAGGCGCGAGCAGCAAGTACTATTCTGAGCTTGAGAAGATCACTTATCAGCAGGATAAGGGATACTCAAGGTGAGTGAGAGTGCAACCGACCGATGCCAAGCCAAACCGATCACACTGACACTGATGTGGTGTGACGTTGCAGTGGCATTGCAAGCGACCACGGCAACACGTTCTGTAAGCCAGCCAGCCAGACACACCACACAGACAGACAATCAGGATGGCATGGATGGCATCTGTGTGCTGTGCTGTGCTGTGCTGCGCATGCCCTTCCTTCCCTGCCTGTCCCTCTGCCATCCGTCTGTTGGTTCATCTCATCAGCGCCGTTCCCCCGAGTGCAGGATGACTTTGTGTACCGCACCGAGCGGTATGACACGGGATCCTTCTCATACACCGTGCCCATCAAAACAGACGGGGAATATGTCATCGTACTCAAATTCTCTGAGGTACGCGACAGCCAGACAGCCAGCCCGACAGCCGTGAATATAATGAAGCCGAGAGGGGTGAGATCTGATCTCCATTTCTCTCTCTCCTTCTCTCCTTCTCTACCAACCAGGTGTGGTTCCAGTCGCCGGGCGAGAAGGTGTTTCACGTGGAGGTGGGCGGCAGCAGGGAGGTCAAGTCGCTGGACATCTTCGGCAAGGTGGGCAGGGGCGTGCCGCACGACGAGTATGTCGAGGTCAGCCGCAAGGGCGACGAGCTCACTGTCGAGGGCACCAAGGCCACACCTGAGGCGTGGAACCCCTCAACAGGCGGACTGAGAATCGACTTCCTCCAGATCCCTGGGAAGGACAATCCCAAGGTCGGCAAGCCACAGGCATGCTTGTATGTTTGCACGGCTGTGATTGTGTGTGATGTCATGCCTTCAGATCAACGCCATTGTGGTCTATGATGGCACACTCGATGGTGAGGCAGATAGACAGACAGACCATCCGCCCACTCAGTAAGTCCATGCATGTGCTGAGTGAGAGTCAACGCCTGATGCATTGACTGACGCAGATATCCCCACCCTGCCCCCTTACGACCGGAAAGCGGCAGCCAAAAGTGAGCACAACCACAAGACACACCAACCAACAGACAATTCAAGTCAAGTCGCCCACACACTACACTGGCTGTGGAATGGAATGGCTGTGGGTCGGGTTAGGTCGTTACGAGGAGGACACGTACGAGGATGACGAGGAAGAGGAGGAGGACGATGATGGCGGCAGCCTCGATGACATCGACCTGGACGACCACCAGGATGTCGTCCAACAGGGGCTGGACGAGCTGGCTTCATCGCAGCTGCTCGTACGTGGCCAACATGGATAGATGGATGGATGGATGGATGGACAGACACACAGACATGACGATTGGTGTGGTGTGCAGGAGGGTGAGAGGTCGAGCGGGATCTTTTCCCTCATCTTCAGCCAGGCGGGCATGTTCCTCGTGGCGCTACTCGTCATCGCCGGCGGCCTCCTCTATGTCGTGACCGTCATGGTCAGCCAACATCTATCTGATGCCCGCCATGCGTGTGGTCTGCACATATGGCTTGTGTCGCGTCTGTCGTTTTGTGCGCGCATCGATCAGGCTGACACCAAGACGGCGAGCAAGCCCGAGAAGAAGAAGGGCAAGTGACGCAGTTTGTGGCACCTACCCTCTACCCTCCCCCCGCTGTCCCGCCTCTCTCCCTCCCTCCCTCCCTCCCTCCCTTGTGTGTTTTAAGGATGGCCCTTTTCGCCCCGTTGGTTGGCACCGGCAAGCATCGCATTTGTGGCTGGAGTTTGATGCATGCAGCGCCTGTCTGTCTGTCTGGCTGTCTGTCTGTGGTGTCTACCTGTGTGTGTGTGTGTGTATGTGTGTGTGTGTGAGGAGGGGTGTGAGCTGACAAGAGCTACATTTTGTGCATCAGGCAGGCAGCTTCCATGTCATGCCGCGTTTTTGGTGGTCCCTCCCTCCCCACAGATGCTTCCATTCCATGCCGTAATTCGCTCTTTGTGTGTGTCTGACTCACTCATTGGCTGGCCATTTGCACACATACACGGCATGGACAGAGAATGAGTGCGTGTCGATGAATAAAAGAATGTGTGTGGTCCGTTGGTTCACTTGCGCTGTTACAGATTTGGTTGAGTTGTCTCGTTCACGTGTGGGCATGGCCTGGCACGTATCGGTCGGTCCGCCACACGTTGGTGTCTGCTGTCCCGCAGGTCGAATCAAAGTGTACAAGCAGGGAGCAGCTGCTCTCCAGTGGCCACAGGATCCAACTCCCGCCACCACCGTCTCATCCTCACACGTCATCCAACCACCCGGCTGCTATACATCCCCTTCCCCCATCAGCACACAGATCCATCCATCCATGTCTCTCTGTCTCTCTCAGTCCATGATGATGTGCGCCCCCCTGCCCAGCCACTCCGCCAGGCTTTCCCGGTCATCGTCAGCACCCCCAGCGGCACCCGCCCCCTCGTCGATGTCCATCGGCTCACAACCATCGCCGCCGCCCTCCGAGGGGTCCTCCTCTGCGGCCAGGCGGCACCGCGCCAGGTCCAGCCGGCACTGCCAATCAGATGCACGGCTGATGGCCTCCATCTTCTTCTGCAGGCGGCCCAGCACTGGGGGGTCGTTCCACTTGAGCGTCTGGCGGCTCTTCCCCTTGCCGCGCGGCGCCCTCTTCCTCTTGGGAAACGCGTCATGGCCGCCCGCCGCCTCTGTTGTCTTGACGATCTCGCCCTCCCGGCCCTTGTTCCACGGCCCCCACAGCACCTCCTCCCCCAGGCCACCGAAGACGGGCGGCGTCTCGTCCTTCTCATGAGACTTGGGGCGGAGGGCGGCGGCACGCTTGGCCTTTGGGAGGGGCTGGTGGTCGCTGTCTGTGGGGCTGGGTGACGGGAGGGGGCTGCGGGTGCGCTTCTTGCGGTTCTGTCGCAGCACCATGCCGTGGGTATTGGGGCCGCTGGCGAAGGGGTCCGGCTCCTGCGGTGGGTTGGGGGGCGAGGAGAGCCGATAGCGGTGGTGCTGGGAGACGGTGGGCGACGGCAGGAGGGGTGAAGGTACCGGGCTGCATGAAGGTGGGGAGACACAGAGAACAAGTTGACGTCTGATGGATCGATAGTGTTGCCCCTTTCATCCCTTTGCCCACCTGTGCTCGATGGTCATCATGGCGGGGGGCGATGCGGTGGCGATGGCTGTGTGGACGGGATGCGTCGACAGCACCTTGCGCGAGCGCCGCAGCTCCGCCGCCAACGATTTCCTCACAGACCTGACAGACAGACAGGCAGACAGGAAGGAGACACATACATGGCCGGGCGTCGCTGTGGCTTCCGTCCTCGGCTGCCATGACTGACTGCCTGTCAGCGTACCCTTGAGCGGTGCGACTGTACTCGTTGTGCTCCTCTGGCACCTGTTTGCTGTCCTCCTTTGGCGGCGTGCTGTTGTCCCCCTGGCTGTCGTCCGCCGGGAAGGACGGCGTCTTGGATATCGTCTTGGATAGCAGCAGGGGCGAAGGGTCGGTGCCATGAGCCTCGGCCGACGAAAGTGTGCCCGGCCGGCGACTGACAAACAGAGACAGACAGGGAGGGAGGTTAGCTGTGGTGTCTCGTGTGTCTGCTGGCTGCAGGTGCACACATATACCTGTCCAGCGGGGGCGGGGGGGCTGGCGCCTTGACCTTCGACATACGCAGCCGGTGCGCCAGACAAGCCCTGAATCAACACACACATGTATTCAGCGATGGCCGGCGATGCAGCTGGGCCTTCCCTTCGGTGCCTACTTGGTGCCGGGCCCATTGCCCGTGTTATCCTTGATGGTGCTGTGGCCGTGCACAGGGATGCCCGGAGGGAGGTGATCCTTCTTCAACTCAAACAGCGAGACACTGAACAAGGACCAAGGCAGGCGCCCATTCTCGTGTGTGTCTCTTTGTGTGTGTGCGCCTCTGTCTGACCTGGTGGCCTTCGCCGCTGCAGTGTCTTTCAGCAATGTGCCCTCGACGAGGCCGCTAAGCATCCCTTGCCCCATGTCACACAAGTCCATGCCCTCACCCTCACCGAACCCCATCTGCTGCCCATAGCCTCCCAGCTCCATCTCGACACACAGCGTGTGGCTATTCGTCGCCCCCCTCTCCATGCGCAGTCGGGGCGCCTCGCCCTTGCCCTGCGTCTGTGCCTTGGACGACTTGCCGCCGGCCCGTCTGGCGGGGCGCGGCTCGTACAGGTCATCGTCGTCATCCTCACCATCCGCCGCGGAACGGTCGTCGAGCGCCGTGACGTTGGGTGCGAGGGTGCTGGAAGACGCTTTGGTGGCCCTGGTGCGGGTCTTCTTGGGGTGGCGGTGGGTGGGGGCGGGGGGGAGTGCGATGTCAGCGAAGGGGAGGACCTGGTACTTGGGGGAACCTGCAGACAGGCAGGGAGACACATACAAACGTGCTTTGCCAAGTAAGGGCCAGCAGTAGCTTGCGTACCGTGTGAGCTTCCGAGCGTCATGGCTCCACTGCTATGGTCCGACACAGTCTGCAGACCTGCAAAGGCACATCAAGGGACGGGCAGACGAGATGCACGTATGGGCTCTGATTGCTGATCGGCGTGGTGGCGTGTGTGTGTGTGTGTGCGGCTGCGGCTCAATGGCCACCGCCGTACCTATGATGGCCAGCTTAGACCGGTAGTCGGTGGTCAGTCTCTCCAGCAGCGACAGCGGCAAGTTGGCGAGCAACATGTCCCACTGGGTCACCAACACATACCTGCACACAACACATCACACCAGAGGACCATACAGCATCCCGCCATCCGCCCACCATTGTGACCCTCACCGAATGGTCTTCTTGCACTTGAGCCTGTCGAGCATCGCCTCGACCAGCACTCCCAGGTGAACGGGATAGCCCCCGCCATGAGGGTCGGGCCGCCGGCTCTTCTCAATCATGTCGGCCACCTCCCGCTGAATGGCCGTGTTGCCTCCCTTGGTGCGGCCCCACGCGGCCACCGAGATGTCCCGCAGCACCGTCACGGCATCGTATGTGCCGCCTCCACTGCTGGACGGCGAGAGGCGCAGGAACGGGGTCTGCGTGGTGGTCTTCTTGGCCTTGGGATGGGCCAGCTGCGAGCTGAGGGTGCCTTGGACGAGATTTTCCACCTCGAGAGCTTCGAATATCGCCGAACGGACCACCATGAGATCGCCAGAACCCTCACTGTTGCACCTGCACCACACACAGAGATGACACACGGCCAAATGCTTTGGGGCCCATTGGAATGCGCATCTATGTGATGTCACAGATGGCCATGCATGCGCCAGGACAGCCCAACAGAGCCTCATGACACGTCACACCATTGCAGTGCACCACTGAGTCCACCGAATCGGTGATCTGACCTTGAGATGAAGGCCTCGAGTGCCTTCATCTTGCTATGGGTGGCAGATTCCAGCTCCTGAGCCATCGCGGATGACAGCCCCGCCCCTGGGAGGGCTGGCAATGACGTCATGATGGCGCCACGAGCCCCTTGGTGCGGACGGTGAGCGAGACAAAAGATAATGAGGCTTTCGGTGCTCCTTCGCACTGCTGGTCGAACCAGATGGACACCTTTGGGAGACAGAAGCCCTGTAGCAGTCTGAAAAGCAGATTTGATATCGTGGCGGCCGGGATCAGGGGCTCGCAGATCCCCGCCAGGACGGCCAGGAGCCCTCCATTTTGTGGCAGTGATGGCGCCGCCTTTGGTGCAGATGACAGCCCACTCCTATCCATCGCGTCCACCGCCCTCACACAACACACGCAGCTATTGCTCTCACTCTCTATATCGACAACATATCTACAGCTTCCCATCTGGTCAAATGGGGAGCTTGAACCCAATCCGACACAAAGCCCCCCCTCGGCCCTCGGCGCCTGTTGACAGTGCCCTTGTGGCCGCTCTCGGACAGGCCTTGCCCTCTCAGTGAGGCTCTCACATATCGCCTGCTGTCAAGCGCCACTCCGCGACGACACCTTAGTCAAGCCGCGCAAGTTCCAGCGCTCGCGAGTCGATGGCGATGCTGAGGTTCTCCTAGACTGTATCGCTGGGGATGAATGACACGGTATTGGAAGTCCGTCTGAAGAGGTCCGTGTTGGTGTGGACGCTTCCTGGCTGCTGCAGATTGAGCCGTCTGGCGTTGGATGGCGGCGGCTG